CTATGTTTGTCTCTCATTTTATATGTTTAAATTACACCAAAAACTATTGAATCCAAACAGCTTAGACTAGGAATTAGGAGGACTAGTTCAGTCAGCAGCTAAGACAGTTAACTTTGCCAGATTTCATTTTTTTAATCTGAAAATAAGGAGAGTAGACTAGATATTTTCAAAGTTCCTGTATTTTTCAGATTCTGATTATTTTCTCTAGAATTAGAAAATAGATTATTCTAGAAAATAGATTTTTGTCAACAGCACTGTTATATGTCTAAAGTTATAGACTAATTTATTAACAGCATTTTGATAATGTCTTATCCTTCAGGAAACCATTCTTAGTAATTTACTTGTGAGTGGGGCTCCTGCTGTTCTCAGGTAGCAACCAGTTCTATAACTGGCTCAATAAATACTTCTAGATCTTTAGGAACTATAATTGGGTTGGAAAATGTAGTGTTTCATTTAATTCAACTTAATACTTGCTTTTATTTGTTCAAAAACTCATAATTTAAAATCCACATAAATACTTTATTTTAAATGAATGGACTGTGAGGTATATGATTCTGTCCGTAGATATATTGCACCATGATTGATCCTAGTAAAGGACAGCTTAATTCAAATTCTGAGAACTCTGTCTGAACTTATGCCTAACTCACTTGATAACAGAGGTCTTGGTTCAGTCTCAAGTTCTCTGAGGTCAGGTAACTTGTCTGCCTGGTTTACTGCTTGTCCCTATCTTCTAGCCTTTCAATACATTTTATAAATAAAATGTTATACTAAAATTTTACTGTTTATTTAGCTATATGATGTGGTATATAAGAGAATAATTAAAGGAAAATTGTGAAAAACCTGATTGCATAATTATTTGTTATGTATACAGTATCTTTGTTACATGCAAGTATCAATAAATTCTTTTAATTTCCTTTTTATTTTAGTAGACACTAAAAATCAATATAAAGGGATATATTGGGAAAAGTAAATACATTTTAAGTATTTATTAAATTATGTGAAAGTATCAAAACAAATTATAAACTTAAAAGATGGAGTACTTTTCAAATATGATCTGTGATTTTGAAGTTTGTCTTGACAGATGGAGTGGTTGAGGTAACATGACAAAGTCTTCCTTCAATTACTCAGCATTTCATATTTATTGCTTTGTTACATATTTTAATATGTCCGAATAATACATCTGAGCCAATATGGCACATTAATTTATCAGAATACTGTACAATTATATTTATGNTAATACATCTGAGCCAATATGGCACATTAATTTATCAGAATACTGTACAATTATATTTATGAGCTAGTTGACCATTTTAAACAATAGGATCCAATAAAAGTATTCTTCTGGATTAAAAAAAGTTATTCACAGCATTTGGAAAATATGTTTCTTTATGGAAGCATCCTATACTAAAATTGGAATTTTAGTGACTACTCTTAAGATATTTATCAGTTTTCTAGCATTGGTCATGAAGGGCATCTGCTATTAATTTATATTTATAAAGCATTACAAATGCAATTACAAATAAATTATTGTGTTAAGCATAACAATTAAAATAAAATTCTCTGTGGGCATTTATAATTTGTAGGTAAGAATGCAGATGTGAATATGTGTTTGCAGTATGTACCCAAAGAAATATTTCCTTTAATTGATTTTTTACTTCAGTTTTTTATGTCAGTACAAATGTAAAACAAAAATAAAACAAAAATTTTAAGAATAATAAATTAAAATAATGATAAATTAAAATTACTAAAACTATTCTAAAGCAGTATTTTTTTCAGAGGTCTGCATGACCTACTTTATTTCTCTGTGCTTTTTATAGGAGATATAAAAGTTCCTGAATAAATGTGAGATAGTTTAAGAAAAATTGGTCAATAATAATTCTCAACTGAAGAGTAGTCCTCTAACAGGGATGGTCATCCTCTTTGAACAAGCATGCAGCCCAGAGAATCACTGAGGGAAAAGGACATTGGCCTGACCAACAAGTATCAGCTGACTCAACACTGACAGTGCTGTAGGGTAATGGGTATCACAGCCACAGGCCTTCACATTGCATACATCAGCATATAGAGGAGAAAAAATGTAATTGTGTCAATAGTTGTCAAATGGCATTGAGAAAACTTGGCAGCCATTTCTAATAAAATCTTTGAAATAAATGGAACTACTGAAACATCAGACTGTTTCTTAAAACTAACAGTATGTTCAAACTAAACAGAAATGCTGAAGCTCTTTTCATTAGAATTAGTAATAAGGCAGTGGTACTATCACCAGTATTATTAATCATAGTTTTTGAGGTCCTAGTAATGGTCTAAGACATAGAAATGAGTTAGTTTATGTTTTGGGAAAGACACACAATCATCTTCTTTGCAGATGATTATGACCGTATACCCAGAAAACCCAAGATATAAAAAAAAAATTACTAGAATTAATGATGAGATTTTGATAAGACAGAGGGATATAAAGTAAATATACAAAAATCAATAGCTTTTGTCTGTACTATCAATAATGAATTAGAAATATAAAAGTGAAAAAATACCTCATTCACAATAGTAAAAACATGTAAATATGTACAGAATAAATTTAGCAGGAAAGGGACAAGACCCATATGAGGAAAATTATAATACTTTATAAAGGACATAGAGCAATAATGTCTAACTCTTATACAGCACTCACCCTGTGCCAGGCACTATTCTGAGCATATTACATGTATTAATTCATTATTCCTTACATCAGGCCTACAAAGAAGGTACTATTATTACCATCATTTTACTGAGGCCCAGAAAAGTGTTTGCCTAGGGTCACATAAAGATCTCAATCATATTTTTGTGTGGAAAACCTTAATATTGTAAAACTTGACAATTTTTCCAAACAAATATGTAAGAGAATCCCTTTTATTTTTAACTGGATGAAATCATCTTAAAGTTCTCGTAGAGATTAAATATCTAAGAATAGCCAAATAAGTTCTGGGAAGAAAAAAAAAGAATGGTGAGTCTTTAAACAGATTCAGGTCTAGCATTTTATTTCAATTGGAAATGCATGGTTTATTTAATCAGTTATGCTGATTATTGCCCATCCTTTTGAAGAAAAACAGGCCTTTTGATAATCAGATGCAAGAATAAACTCCAGGTGGATTATAAATAGTTAAGTGAAAGACTTAGCGATTTTAGACTTAGTTACTTTAGGAAGGCAGAATGGAAGGAGAAAAGATGATTGAATTTTTCTTTATTCAGCTTTATATTGTTTCACTTATTTTAATGGTCATATATTAGTTCGTAATTTTGAGCTTACTTTATTTTTAAAAAGAGACAAAACTCTAAACTTAGCTTTTGCACTTCACTAACAAATGTTAAGCATTGGCAAGAATTGGTATTTGAAGTAGTGCTGTTTCTGCCATTAAGAACCTTGCATTCTAGCCATGGAGATGGATTCAATAGATACAATGGAAGGTAGATAAAATAATAAAATAATATTGCATTAGTTTGAAAATCAAAACATCATGAATGAAAACTAATTAAAGCTTCTTTATTAAAATTAAAATGACTAAAAATAGCCAGTAAATGCCCACAGTATCTTTAGGCAAAAGAGCACTTTGCCTCAAACCAGAGAACTGAGTATTAAACATCTTTCAAGATTAAGAAATCATATTTCAGGAAACATAGAATCAGTTATTATGTTGCTAAGGCAGCTATGTACAATAAATATTCCTTCTTGTCCCAGACGATCCTGTCCCACAACCCTTACTTTGAGGGAGTAGGTATATTTATTGAAAAACTGCTATTGATCAAGCATGGGATATATAATAGTGAATAAAACGGAGTTTCTACCTTCTTCGTGTTTATAGTATTATTAATGATTATTATTTATTAAAATTTGAGACTGACTTTATAAATGTGATTGATTTTTAATTTTTGTTTGTTTTGCTTTTAAATTTAGGATATCTTGTATTATGAGCAGCTAAAGACCAATGTGATACAACATGACCTTTTGGTGGATAGTCTAATTTATAAAGTAAGTGAAAGTAAGCATAGTTTTTTTTTTTCATTTAATTAATATCCTTAAAAATTGAAAGTTTTCAATATGCAGGGCCTGTACAATGTACAATGATACATATTAACCTAGAAAAAATAACTTTGAGTGATCATTATACTTATAAAGTTAAGGTTGGCCTTTAAAATTTGCAGTCTGCGTTCAATGTTATCTTCTTTCCCTTTGAAGCTGTCATCATGATCCTTTCCTGGTCTTCCCATTTTTTGATTAGCAAAATAAGTATTTCTTGTCACTATAAATACAAGTTTTCAACACATACCAAATAAAATAGCAACTGAAAAGAAAATAAGACTATAATATTTTTATCTTATTTATCTCATGATTCTTTGAGGCCTAATTGTTCTCTTTGTATTCAAGTCATTTTTAGTTTTTAATTTATTTCAGTTTGTAGACATATGGCTAAGTACATCTCAAGTTTTATGATAGGGATACATTGGGGTTTTGCCTTTAAGCATCTGATAATCAAGTTGAAAGTTGAGTTATAGATGCTTTAAGCATAATATAGGATATGACTAATTCTGGATTAGTAATTAGACTGTTTTAAAAACTTGGACTTTAAATTTAGAATTTGAAAGATAGAGGAGAATGTATATTATTATAGGTCTCAGAAATGGGGGAGAGATGATTACACACTGAGGACCTGAAAATTTGTCTGGGTAGGACATATTGTAATAACAACTGCTAATATTTATGACTGCTTACTGTGTGCTATATAATGTTCTAAACCCTTTACACAGATTATCATTTAATCAGGACAACTACTTTACGAATAGCAGATATCAGCATTTAGGCTATAAATGATAAATACACTTTTTTCCCTGGGAAAAGAAAACTTGAATTCTGTAAAATCACGCATTAAAAATAACAGCTTATAGGAAAAATGGGGTTGGGGCAGAGCACTCAAAACTTTTGCAACTTTGTAACCAGAAGACTAACAAAAACAATAATTGATAGCTTGGGAGAAGAATCAAACAGCTCAGGCAGACTACTCCCACAGGAGCTATTAAAAATATACTAAACTAATAAAATCAAAATGCTAAAATAATGCAGATGGAAGTGATGCTCTGGGCCACGGAGCTGCTGTTAACGTGGGCACAAGAAGAATTACAGCAACTGAGAGATGCTCCCACAGGAGCTATTAAAAATATACTAAACTAATAAAATCAAAATGCTAAAATAATGCAGATGGAAGTGGTGCTCTGGGCCACGGAGCTGCTGTTAACGTGGGCACAAGAAGAATTACAGCAACTGAGAGATGTGCCACTCTGGGAGTGTGCCTCTCTGGAGAGGGAGCCCCTGTGTCAATGTCTGTCTTTAATTTTCTTAAAATGCAATTATAGAGGCTAACGCCTGTGCATCAGGTAAGCTGAAGGCTTTTTTCTTTCCTGCTAAAGGTTATAATTCTACTTTTGCTATTCTAGCTCCCCTTGCTTAAGAAAAATTGCATCTGCACCAACGCAATTTCCATGTTATACTGACATCATTCCCTTACCTACCAGCCACATATCTACACATGTGCTAGAGCAAAACAGAAAGTACTATTATTTTACCATTTTACAGATGAGGGAACTGAGGAAAAGGTTAAAGAAATGTTTAAATTCACATTAAGTGGCAAAGCCGAAATTTGAACCTAGCTAATCTGACTACAGAACCGTATACTGTACAGTAAGCAGAAATAAGGAAGTTTAGAGTACAAAGTCCTTTGATGAAAAATCTTAAATCTCCAGAGGTTTTACACTAGATTTGGATTGTAGGTCCTAATATTAACTTTGAGGTCAAATGATTATGCTCAGTGAATTATTTTAGTAACAGCTTAAGATATCTCTTGGACTTTAAGACCGTTAACCTCTTTTCTATTCAAATAAGAGGAAACTCACAAGTGAGAAAGCTCAAAAAAACAGTGAGTGCTAGCATGAGAGTTCTTTTTGTTGCTAACATGAATTTTAGTTTGAGTCAATAAAGAAAATCTGTTTTGAGAAGGAAGTAAACAGTTTGTGCCTGAGGAATCAAATATAAGTTTTGGTAGCATCAATCCTGATTCTGTGTACAACATGAATGTTTTTAGAGAGGTATCTGTCCCTTGTTATTTTTGACTTCTGTTAGTTGGGCTCTGCTGATCTCGTTGGAGCAACTTCAAACATTATTAAAGTCAGCTCGAAAGGGAATGAGCATTTAAAGAAATTATTTAAAGTTTCATTACAGGCTCCATGGCACAGACTTGTTTTAAATTGAACTGGAAACTCTTGGCTATTGTAAATAGTGCTGCAATAAACATGGAAATACAGGTATCCCTTCGGCATGATGATTTCCATTCCTCTGAGTATATTCCCAGCAGTGGAAAAGCTGGGTCATATGGTCGATCTATCTGTAATTGTTTGAGAAACCTCTATACAATTTTCCATAAAGACTGCACCATTATATTGAGAAGTTAAAATAAAGTAAAATAAATAAGTAAATTGAACTGAATACAAAGTAGAATTACTGTAGTGGTTAAAGGAATGAAGGGAACAAGGCAATACTAAATACAGAACATCATTAAACCTTCCCTAAGCTAAATTGTTAAATGGTTCTGTCTGAATTATTTTTTGTACAAATTTGCCTTGTATCCACACCTTCTACAGTTTTTCACCATTTGCTATGAACTGACAATTTGTATCAGTGTTTCTTAACCTATCTTCATTATCACACCCCTGAGGAGAAAAATTTTCTCTCGAATAAGAAAAATTAAATACCAGAGAATAAGATTTTGTTGAATAGAGATGAGCTTTGGAGATCCACATACCGTGGTAATATGTAACATCTTTTGGCCTCCCGAGAACCAGTTTTTACCCAGTAGGAGGCAATGTCACCCCTGTTGAGAATGCATGACCTCTATCTTTGCCTGTCTGTCTCCTGACTTAGAAGACTGGGCCCTTTCTTTCCTCTTAATCTGTGTTTTTAAGTTTTTCCAGACTTAGCACATATTCCCTGCCTCTGGAGTTATCCATGAGTTCTGTTCTCCCCTGACTGGTGCTTTGCTCATTAGCCTGGTTGAATTTTGTAGACTATTTGAGCTGTGTTATCATGGATTTCTACAATATTTCTTTGTACGTTTTCTCTTATTTTTTACTGTGTATGTATTCTTGCCAGTGAGATTAGACTTCTTGAGGATAAATATTGTCTGTTTTTCTTTGTTTGTTTGGGTTTTGATTTTTGTATTCTTCATCCCATTTAATCAGCCAGTACTTACTGAATCGAATATACATCAGTGCCCTTTAGATCTGGACTTTTTTGATACATGTAAGGTTCAGGATGTCTATTTAAATACGTGTACTTATAAACAGATGAAGAATACAGTAAATAAAGGGGCTTTTGGTGAATTTTTAAAATAGTGTTCTGGATACCTACTCTGTATCTGATACTATCCTAGGCATTTACCCTTATTTCCTGAAGTAGGTAGTAGTATCTGCATTTAGAGATATGGGGACCTATGCTTGGAGTTACTGACCAAAATCATACAGTTTGAAGTAGTGGAACTGGATTTCAAATCTTGGTTAAATCTGTTGGAATGTCCATGTTCTTTACACTGAAGCATACAAGTAGCAGGTTCCAACTCACTGTACAAAATGTTGAGAGATACTCTGGGGGAAATGCAAATATTTCGATTTATTTTTCTGAGCTTTTCTTTATTTGTTTGTTATTGTGGAGGAGTACCTTTTAGTGATGCATTGCTTCATAGGAAACTATAATTAATTTTTGTTAATAATTTTATATTTTTATTTTCTGTTTATTCATCCAACATGTGTTGGGTACTTATTAGGTGCTAGGCACTGTGCTGGTGCTAAATATATTAAAAATAGTTAAGACACTGGGCCTCAAAGAGCCTAAACTTTCATAGGGAGAGTAGAAATGTTTAAAGTAGTCTCAGGTGAGGAAGTAAGAATAGAGTTATATTTAAAGGAAGGAACTAATACTCTGTTCAGGGGAAGTCAATGAACTGCCCTTAAAAGATGCGTTCACCAGGCGGAAAAATCAATGTTGCTAGTCTACCGGTAAAAAGTGGTAACTTCCAACTGAATAATCACCAAAGGAATGGAAGATATTTGGTATTTTGATGGAATGACAGGAATGTGGACTTGAACAATGAGACTGAAACAGTAACCTAGGGCCAGCTTGTTATGGTTGCATCTGGATGTTGTGATTGCATCTGCTTTTCTTTTCTACCTTTACGATACCTAAATACTAGATTATAAGGAGATAAAATTGAAATAAATGAAAAAGAACTAATAATGGAACCTAAAAAAGTGTAAGGAATTTCAGGTTAGATAATGTGTCACATATGTTAGTTAAGTAAATATATAGCAATGATAAAATCTAATTGAAAAGTTTATAATCGTACATAACGTAATAAATAATCTTGTTTCTAAGTATTATACATTTGCATTAGTACTACATACAGATTCATTTGGTTTTTTTCAGTACTCTCTACTTTTAATTATAGGATGTGAAGTTGACAGCAAGCAATGATGATTATTATTTTGTATTTGAAGATTATTTATATCAGGTAAGTTTAAAAATTAAAATATATAATGTTCTTGTTTTACTCTGTTATTAACTAAATCTAAAATCCAAGCCATGTTTATAAGATTAAAAGTTCTAAGTTTGGAATCGGGTTAACTTTTGTTCTTACTGTGGGTTTAGGTGGGAGAACAAGAATTCCCAAATAAGTTTGGATTATTCTTTTTAGTCATATATGCTACAACCGGGAGGTATTGGCAAGTAAGTTTTCTATCTTTGTTGTTGGCACAGATTCTTAAATTGGAAGGATCCTAAAATGTTTAGAGGATAATTTTGCTGTTATTTTTCTATTAAAGGAATTTAATAAGTAATTAAATGTTTTGAAATCAATTTGGAGTGTTAATGATTACTCTTTGATCATTTCATGTGTTGATGTTGTGGATTCTTGGATCCTTACTTAGGTCTTTTTTACATCTACTAGGCATTTATCATAAATAGAAAATATGTAATATATATAGACTTGCCTAGGTGTTATTCTTTTTTAAAGATTACATATACATATTAATAATTTGATTTTGAGCAAATGCCAATATAAATGTCATGGAAGAAAGAAACATCTAGATTCTACAAAGCAACTTGTGCTTGATTAAATGTAAGTCAATCCCAGCTGTGTAGATGAGTAGGTTTTTGTTTCATAATGGTGTTGGTGTATATATGTTTTAGAGAGAAGATAAATAATAATCTCTCTAGAAGATTTAATTAATTATACATTCTAAGCTGAAGTATAAAGACTTTATAAATTTTATTTATAAAATTAATATTTAAAATAACACTAGAAACAATTTGAAGAGATTTCTGTGATTTCAAATGTGTAATTAAATTTTTTTATTTTAAAAAATATTGGTTTTAAAATTCCATTCTTTAATATAAAGTTAGTTATTAGTTTAAAAGTTGGAAAATATGAAAATCTTCTTCTATAAGTTTATTTGCTTATGTAGCTAATATGTCTAATTCTTAGTCCTCGGTAAATTTTTGAATATTATATATATATATCAAATACTAGTTTACTGATAACCCCTGTACTTCAGAAAGGTTAATTGGAAATGATCACTCCTGGAATGATGGCATGTGGAGCTCCACAGAACCATCCGCAGCAGATATAAGTTTATTTGCTTATGTAGCTAATATGTCTAATTCTTAGTCCTTGGTAAATTTTTGAATATTATATATATATATAAAATACTAGTTTACTGATAACCCCTGTACTTCAGAAAGGTTGATTGGAAATGATCACTCCTGGAATGATGGCATGTGGAGCTCCACAGAACCATCCGCAGCAG